CGCCGCGCCCCCTCAATCCAGACGTTTTCACTTCATCTATTTCGGAAAATTAGGAAATTCAAACCATGTAAAAATCAAAAACAGTCTCATTGTTTCATCTTTATTGATATTTCTGAGGTAGTCTGAATATTCGTTTCAAATCACAAAATTTGGTGTACATGTTTTATTAATAATTTTATCCAGGAATCAAAATTTGATGTGGTTTTAGAATAAAATGGATGAGAATCTGGGAGAACAAATTCGATTGGTATATTGATAAGTAGCAGTAGGCAGTGACCTTGTCATTCGGGTTATATGATGTAGAATGTAATCCTAAGTCTTAGGAATATTTGATTCCATCATCATTCCAAGTCCCAGGTCTTACATCAAGTGCAAGTCATGTTCAGTCTGCTACAAATATTCCTATAGAAAGAGTTTTGTTTCTATCAATACACAAAAATGATATCTGCAATTAGTTTAACCTGTTAGAAAGAAATTTATTCATGTGGACGAAAAACATGGGATTTCAAAAACGAAAAACAATACTTGCAGATCACCAGAGTGGAGAGAAAGAACTACCAAGTATAAAGGATACTATGATCAGAGAAAAAGTTTGCTGATCTGCAACACTATAGGACAGGACTTTGCTTAGGAAGTAAATATACCAAAATATTTGGTTATTTCAAAATGAGCCTCTCAAAACAACTAAATAAGGCTAATGCACAGATGTGTCTGTAAGAAGTCAGGTCCCACCCTAAAAGAAGTCCATTGTCTATCTATACTAAGTGACATATAAATCCGAACACCCAGTTTAAATGGTTTTATTTTAATAAAAGTTGGTGAATGTATTTATCTTACTGTAAATAACAAGTGAAAAAATGTTCAGCCTTATCAGTTGGACATTCCGGTTTTTATACTGCTTTTTTTAATTCACTAACGCTCTAAAAATGAATATTTCAGCCGCAGTAAAGAATCAACGTTGGCGGATTTTGGTTCTTGACATCCTTTACGATCGGTTACGATGCCTAGAGTACGGAGACCTGTACGATTTCGTCAACTTAGTGAGTTTGATAGGGGCCGTATAGTGGGACTTCGGGAAGCTGGACTTTCTTTTCGGGCAATTGCAGTTAGAGTGCAAAGAAGTGTAGACACTGTGGTTAGGTGTTGTCAGGCATGGCTTCGAGAAGGCCGTACGCAAAGAGCAAGGGGCACTGGACGCCGCCGTAGAACACCAGACCGTGAAGATCGCCGCCTAAGATTATTGGCCTTAAGGGACCGTTTCTCCACTACCAGGTCCATTGCAAATGAATGGTTTGCAGAACACGGAAGACCTATTGGCATGCGAAGTGTTTACCGACGAATGAGAAGTTTTGGCTTGTTTTCATACCGGCCACACTGGGTCCTCCCTTTAACTCGAGAACACCGACGTAATCGCCTTGAGTGGTGCAGACAACGGTCACTCTGGGATCAGGAATGGAACAGTATTGTCTTTAGTGACGAGTCTCGATTTTGTTCAGGCATGCACGATGGTCGTGCCAGGGTTAGAAGGCGACGTGGTGAAAGGAGGAATCCACAGTTTTTTGTTGAAAGACATGTTCATCACACTGTTGGAGTTATGGCTTGGGGTGCTATAGCTTATGGTTCCAGGTCACCTTTAATCTTCATCAGAGGTAACATGAACGCGCAGCGTTATATCCACGAAGTTCTAGAACCCCATCTTTTACCCTATCTTGACACCCTGGCAGATCCAACTTTCCAACAAGATAATGCCCGACCACATGTTGCAAGAGTCACAATAGACTTCTTTCAACATAATGAAGCACTTCGAGAGGAGTTGGTGGTTGCCTGGAATGAGATACCACAGGAGGACATTGACCACCTGATCAGAAGCATGCCTAGGCGCGTTGGAGAATGCGTAGCACATCAGGGTGCATCCACACATTATTAAAGGTCAAAGGGCTTTAAAGCAGTGCAATCATTTTGAAATTTTTATCATTTACTTATTATGCTTCATTAAGTACTTATACAAAATTTTATTAAAATAAAACCATTTAAACTGGGTGTTCGAATTTATATGTCACTTGTATATATTGAATTTAGGGTTGTGATTTTGATATGTGTCCAAGACATATTTCTTTAAACCGAGATCCATTCCTTGATTGTAAGAACTCTATTTAAGCAATGATATTACCTCATTTCAAGTACCGGTGATGTCAAGCATCAACCTCATAATCGCAAGAAAATTTGTGCTCTTTGCTCAAGGAATCCCTTTTTTGTGTAACATTACAATTACTCCTCCATGAATAACTTGGATGACTAGTGGTCAGAATAGATATACCTATAGTTCATCTAATAGTTCTGGAAAATTTTAAATTGATGGTCATTTCTTCAAAACAGTGATGTACAACATTGTATACAATGATAGTGATGTATCAGTGTTATGTAAAAAATGACAACCAAAGCTTTCTTATTGAAGCAGCAGCTGGTGTTAGCATCAAAACAACCTTGTAAGGCCAGTAAGACTAAAAGCCAAAAAGTTCATCTATTTTCATTTGTGTTCTAGCATTGCCTCTCATTCAATGACAAAATCTACAAACTTGCTATTACTAACCACACCTAATTTGTTTCCTTCAAAAATAAATAATCACCTTTTTTGTATATCCGCAATCCAAGGAGCCTTTATTAAAATTGGTCCAAATGATGAATGAATTTTATTCTAAAAGATATGACAACAACTTACTGATGATCCAATCTGCTCCTTTAACTAGTATTTCTTTGGTCTTGTACCAGTCTCCTCGCTTCATGGCCCCCTTCAGTCTCCAATCATGTCTACCATAAAGGTTGGTGAAGATCCTGTCTTCATCGGCCAAATTACCAAATGTGGTCTTTGTTTGTGGAGGTGGGGTGCCTGGGGGTGGTGGCCCCGCAGAATAGCAAGCAATCAAGGCATAGCGAGACCAAGGGATAGATGCACCTCCTGAATAAGAAATAAAATTATATCTATATTCAAAATTATGGATAATATAGTGTTGTGTAATTCCATTAATATAGGTTTTTGGTTCCACTTCAATGTCTGTCTGTCTATGAATCCTGTAAAAATACTTATGAACCTGCTAAAAATGCCATTCGACTTCACACAAATAAAAACAATTCGGCTCTCTGCGAAATGCAAGAAAAAACATGGGCTGTCTATATAACGCCTATATCTATAAATTCAAAACATTTCTGGTGTAAAGAAAGCTTTGCTTACTACAAGCAGAAACGTAAAATAGATCTCAAATGTTACACCACAACATGGCCCATAAATAGAGGTTATTTGTTTAAATTCTCCGCACTTATAAGAACATGAATATATTCAGTTAATTGAGCCTAGTCAATAGTTGATTTCTTAGACAGTAAAAATGTTAAGTGTATGTCCCAAATAGCTACGATTTTCGAATATCGTCATTCGTTATGTAACTTTTTGAAACTGTTCTTATTGCTAATTTCGTTGTAACAAAGTAACAGGTACTTACCCAAGGCATGCTTCTGCAAAGCTACGATTCTGGACAAATTTCCAGCCATCACGTTATTGGACTATTTTCCAATTTCCATTATGATAAAGGAAAATGTGTTACTGCCTTTCAAAAAGCAGCCAAATTTTTGATAGAAGACAACTCGGCAGATGTCAATGTCATCACGAAAAATGTCATCATCTGTCAAGCTGAGGGATATTCGCGTTTCTATCCATCGCTCTTGATTCCAGCCGTTACGTCATAGAACCCCGGACTGTTGAAAGTCTGTCGATTGAAGAATCTATTCAAAAGCCCATGCTATATGAATGCAGATATATGTCGAAAAGCACACAAAATTATCCTATATATATAATAAAACGGTTTGATATCGTTTGGTAAAAAAAATATCACCGCGTTTAATCTCCGAATCGCAAATCCGATATGATGCATTCAGTTGTAAAGCGTATAGAAGGAATAACAGCTGAGGAGCAAAGCTCGATGTTGTAGCGGAAGAAGAGAGCTAGATCCGAGTCCCGAGACTTTCCGTTAGAGAAGACTCATCTGAACAGCGTCAAGTATCTCGAGGCTGCCACTATTAACGAGATGTGTTCGTGCCGGGATGGGTATCGCGTAAAAAACCTATAAAACGTCAAAAGAAACCTATAAGATGTCAACTTGCTACTAGGTAGTTTTTAGGGCGCAAACAGTCATTCCCCTTTTGCTCACCAGGATCGTTGTGAACGTCCATCTATGAAGGAATCACTCAACTAAACTACACGTATTATTGGTTGCATATGTTTTGTGAGGCCAAATGGTCCTTGTCTGTAGTTTTTATCTCTGAGAAGAAAGTTGATTGAATAGCAAGATCGCATCTGGATGATATTATTTATTGGTCTGCATGTTTATAAAATCAGTGATATTTGCGTGAGTGTGAGAAAATTATTACTGAATATGCTGCCAATAAAGTATATCTATTGGATGTGCCCGACGGGTTATTTTTATGTTGTGCTTTCTGAAGAATGTTCAAAGTTATAAATTACGAAAAACTGAGGAGAATTACGGAAAATCATCACTGCGCCCGCGTTGTGTGTAATTACTGTTAGCATGTATATGGCTTGTAATTCGACAGTGTACAGTGAATTTAATTAATTCTTATCTCTCTCATTTTTGAAATTCAGCAAATTTGTATATGTAATTTCCAGAATGGATAAGAACAAGTGGATGCGCAACTAATTTCTAGCTTTGAATCTCAATTCAGTGTATTTGAGACAAGAACCCAATGTAATTATCATCAACACATACAACTTACAGCTCAGACCTCCAGTAATGCCATCTCTGAAGCAGATTTTACATCACATCAGAGCCAAACATTGATAACTGAAGCCTCATGCCGTTTAGGCAACACGTACAACTAAGTGCTAAGTTAACATCTCGTAGAATAACCATAATGTTAAAAAAACAGCATAATGTCAAAAAAATCGGCATAATGTCAGTTTGCAAGATACGTGATACCCGTACGGAACCTTACTTATGACAGATCTTTCGAGATGCCCCTCGTAGCGCAACGGTACCTATAAGAATCAAGTTCCCCAGAGAGCATGCGTGTCTCATCCCCAGATGTTTGTGATGCGCACTGTGCGTGAACTTTAAAACTTGGAAAATATCGTTAGCGACAGATAACAGATATTCACTCTTAACCACATTCATATGCTTCATTTAATATATTCTATTGTATTCAGTGAACATGTATGAAAAGGTCGTGAAACAGGTAATTTTATTTCCATTACTACTATTTGTTTTTCAAATGCATAGTTTAAGTAATGAATGTCATTAATTTGATAAATTATTATTTATATAATATTATATCACGTCGCTCAATATTTATCTCAAGTTGCATTGGAAGAATTGAAAAGTTCTATTGATAACACTGACATACTAACATTTGCCGAGGAATATTATTTAACGAACTTTATTTATAGATCGATACCTCTATTTTCGATAGCCGAAATATATACTGATTACCTGCCAATATAGGTTTATGCATGATCAAGTGTGAACTCTGATTAGTTTTCATTCAAGCATCAGCTGGCAAAGCTTATCCTTTATGAAATCCAAGTTAATTACACATTAAAAAAGCCGCACAGTATGAGTCATCTAACGGCTGAAACGTTCCCCACATGTGAAAGGCTATCCCACATGCATACATCTAATAAAAATTGTATAACACGTGTTAGAACAACAGTATGTAAAATAGGGGCAATACGCGCAAAATGATCCTCTTAAAGGAAAAACTGTGCTTTAAGTTTAAGACAAAAACGTACCCAGTGAACATAGCGATGTGATAATGTTGGCATTGTTGACGTAAGCCGACCAAAAAAATGACGTAGAAATGACGTCAGTATGACGATCTAATGTCACATAAAATTGACGTCATTGTATGACGTATAATAGACCAAATACAAAGTCGGTATGACGTGGATATAACGTCTAATTGAAGTCGATATGACATCGACATAACATATAGTCACCCGCAAAAATGGCGTCAATAAAGACCAAAAGTGACCAAATAATGACGTCATTTCACTGGGACTGGATGGTACCTCCACGTAGGATAAAGACTACAAAAACATCGGCATCTAGTAAATTACTGCATTTTAAGTGAAAATCCGTTGTGATTTTTATTACGAAAGTAAACTAGTTGCATTCCAAGGAATGTAGCAATAACAAGTAGTTGATTCCACTATCTGCAATGATCTCAGTTCATTATTGAAAATTGGCATTGAACGTGGTGGTTTTCAGACTAAAATATTCAATTTTTGTGAACAAATATCGTTGAACGATTTATAACTTTGAGTTTTTTTTGAGTATGCCACACTTGGGCGTTCATCCTCATAAATATGCCGAATTTTTAAATTTCACTCTGTGGTATTTGGAAAGAGAATTTTCCTAGTAGGTACAGTCGACATTGAATTGTTTCCGATCACAAATATACTAAGTGACATATAAATCCGAACACCCAGTTTAAATGGTTTTATTTTAATAAAAGTTGGTGAATGTATTTATCTTACTGTAAATAACAAGTGAAAAATTTCAGCCTTATCAGTTGGACATTCCTGTTTTTATACTGCTTTTTTTTAATTCACTAACGCTCTAAAAATGAATATTTTAGCCGCAGTAAAGAATCAACGTTGGCGGATTTTGGTTCTTGACATCCTTTACGATCGGTTACGATGCCTAGAGTACGGAGACCTGTACGATTTCGTCAACTTAGTGAGTTTGATAGGGGCCGTATAGTGGGACTTCGGGAAGCTGGACTTTCTTTTCGGGCAATTGCAGTTAGAGTGCAAAGAAGTGTAGACACTGTGGTTAAGTGTTGTCAGGCATGGCTTCGAGAAGGCCGTACGCAAAGAGCAAGGGGCACTGGACGCCGCCGTAGAACAACAGACCGTGAAGATCGCCGCCTAAGATTATTGGCCTTAAGGGACCATTTCTCCACTACCAGGTTCATTGCAAATGAATGGTTTGCAGAACACGGAAGACCTATTGGCATGCGAAGTGTTTACCGACGAATGAGAAGTTTTGGCTTGTTTTCATACCGGCCACACTGGGTCCTCCCTTTAACTCGAGAACACCGACGTAATCGCCTTGAGTGGTGCAGACAACGGTCACTCTGGGATCAGGAATGGAACAGTATTGTCTTTAGTGACGAGTCTCGATTTTGTTTAGGCATGCACGATGGTCGTGCCAGGGTTAGAAGGCGACGTGGTGAAAGAAGGAATCCATAGTTTTTTGTTGAAAGACATGTTCATCACACTGTTGGAGTTATGGTTTGGGGTGCTATAGCTTATGGTTCCAGGTCACCTTTAATCTTCATCAGACGTAACATGAACGCGCAGCGTTATATCCACGAAGTTCTTGACACCCTGGTAGATCCAACTGTCCAACAAGATAATGCCCGACCACATGTTGCAAGAGTCACAATAGTCTTCTTTCAACCTAATGATGTCACATTGTTACCATGGACACCAAGATCTCCCGACTTATCCCCAATTGAGCACGTGTGGGATATGATGGGTAGGAGATTGCTCAATTTGCAACGTCCTCCTCAGACTCTAGAAGCACTTCGAGAGGAGTTGGTGGTTGCCTGGAATGAGATACCACAGGAGGACATTGACCACCTGATCAGAAGCATGCCTAGGCGCGTTGGAGAATGCGTAGCACATCAGGGTGCATCCACACATTATTAAAGGTCAAAGGGCTTTAAAGCAGTGCAGTCATTTTGAAATTTTTATCATTTACTTATTATGCCTCATTAAGTACTTGTACAAAATTTTATTAAAATAAAACCATTTAAACTGGGTGTTCGGATTTATATGTCACTTAGTATATGTCCGTCGCTTATGTGAAAGAGGTTGTTATTTTTGTGTTCCAGTATGAAACCAACGGTTATGCCATCATTGACAAGTTGTTCTCGGAAGAGGAAGTTAATCTCATGAAAAAAGAGATCGATGTACTCGTAAAGAAAATGCCAGAAGAGTCTCAGAGGGTCATTTTTAGTACTACTGATTCTGAAAGTCAGCAGGTATGTTTTGTATACCATGAATCAGCACTAGTAGTGTCTGGGACTTTTATTGTAATCGGTCTCTATTTTACCTGGCCGATATCAGCTATAAAGCTGCTCTCACCACCAACCAGGGTTACACAAAAAATTGTACAATGTTCTTGAAGTAACGTATTATGCAATAGCCTGAAAATTTTAATAAAATACGACGGTGGTCCCAGAAGTACCCGACCCAACGAAGAAAACACAAAAATTTGTAAAAAAAAATGTATTTATTTTCCAAAATAATCTCCTTTGAGCTCTATACACTTTTCCCAGCGATGTTCAATAAGTTCGATACCGTTTTTATAATAAGAACTGTCTTGCTCCTCAAAATAGCCATTAACTGCCCACATCATTTCTTCATCGTTGGAAAATCTTTGACCTCTCAGCCATTTTTTCAAGTTTGGAAACAGAAAATAATCCGAGGGGGCTAAATCTGGTGAATAGGGTGCATGAGGGTAGCAATTCAAACTTTAATTCGTTAATTTTGGCCATTGCAATAACGGATTTGTGAGCTAGTGCATTGTCTTGATGAAACAACACTTTCTTCTTCACCAAATGTGGCCGTTTTTGCTTGATTTCATCGCTCAAACGTTGCAATAACTTCGCATAATACTCGCCGTTGACAGTTTTACCTTTTTCAAGTTAGTCAATGAAAATTATCCCACGCGCATCCCAAAAAACCGACGCCATAACCCTGCTTGCAGATGAAACGGTATTCGCCTTCTTTGGAGCCGGTTGTCCCTTTTGAGTCCATTGTTTTGATTGTTCTTTTGTCTCGGGTGGGAAGTGATGGCCCATGTTTCATCCATGGTTATGAAACGACGCAAAAATTCTGCTTTGTTGCTGTGAAACTTCGCTAAACAAACAATTGAAACATCACGACACTGTTTTTGCTCGATTGTGCACAGCTTGCACACAGCTTTATCATGTCCAAATTTTCAGATAATATGCGATGAAGCACACTTTTTGAAATGCCTACTATGTCTGCTAGCTCGTGCACTTTCAGTCGGCGATCATTCACTACCGCTTTGTGAATCTTCTTCACCATTTCTGGAGTCGTCTCCTCATTTGGTCGACCACTGCGATGCTCGTCTTGGCAGCTCATACGGCCTCGTTTAAACTCTGCTACCCAATATTTTACTGTTGTAAACGAAGGAGCAGACTCACCCAGAGTAGAATCCAGTTCAGCTTTTATATTGGTTGGGCTGAGGCCTTTGAAATAAAAGTATGTACCACATAACGATGACCAATTTCTCCATTTTCACAAATTCACTGAAAACGTTCAGTATTAATGGCTGCCAAACGAATACTAAACAACGTGGCGTCCTCAACTTGACACATATGCTTTATAGGTTGCATACTTTCCGATACCTACAATGATATTTTTCAAACAACTATCGCCATCTCTAGGTCAGGCCGGGTACTTCTGGGACCACCCTCGTAAGTAAGCACTGTCAAACAGATCTGACACAGTCGATTATACATCAAAGAAAATTTCACGAATTCCCACTAACAAGGCACTCAATGAACAAAAGACAATGAAAGAAGGCTCCGTACAAAAATAGTTTCAAAATATTTCGATTGAGAGCATTCACTTGATGGTGATCCAGCATCAAAGTCACATAAACGTACGAAACATCTACGAGGTGTGTTCAAAAAATATTTTTTTTTAATATTCAGTCATCCACATTATTATTGCCGCCTTCAAATAGTTCGTCTGATAATGCACTTGCGCTAGCGCTTCTTCCAATCGCCTAAACACTTCTCAAACTCGATCCTTGAGATAGAGTTTAGCTCTTTCAACGATGCGTTTTTAATGTCATGAATCGCTGTAAAACGGCGGCCGTTTAAAGAGTTCTCTTTATTTTTCGAGATAGGAAAAAATCACACAAGGTCATTTCTGGCAAATATGGAGGCTGGGACATCGTTCAGTATGTTTTCGACGAAAACTTCACGAACATGCAATGAATTATGAAAAGTATGAATTGTTTTCCACAAACCCGCAGGGGTATTACGTATCTCGACATTATACAGGGTGTCCGTAAAGTTGGGGTTTTCCTTTACACGACGTGTAGATCTTGAAAACATAAGCAATTTTTCTTAGTACCATATACACCAATGTCTTAAGGGAACCGAGATAAAGGGCTCTGCAACATCAAAAATATCTGAATACCGTCCTGTAGCCGCAACCCGCCGCGATATCCCCGATTGGTACAAGGTCTCAACCCGACGGCAGAACTGGGTCGGGATCAGTGTGTCATTTCAGTATGCAACCTTCAACCGACGGTTACGGTCACGCGTGTAGAGGTAATCGCGTAGACGAGAATCCCTCAACAAGCACTAGAGACGTGGATAGAGAAGTGCAAGTATCAAAAACTAAAGTGTGGCAAACGCTGCGTGAAGAGGGGCTGTATCCGTTTCACGTCCAACGTGTACAAGCCCTTCAACCTGACGATTTTCCAGCAAGAGTGCGGTTTTGTGAGTGGTTGTTGCATCAACATGACATCAACAGTAGAAAATCCGCACGCTGTCCGTCGGGCACATTTTCAACAAACATTTTCGGTGGATGTTTGGGCTGGCATGGTGAACGGTATGCTCATTGGACCATTTATTCTCCCAAATCGATTGGACGGGATGCAATACCTAGACTTTTTACGCAACATTTTGCCTTCCTTGTTAGAAGATGTGCCATTAAGTGTAAGACAATCAATGTGGTTTCTGCGTCTGCTCGGTAGCGCAGCTGATTTCATTTTCTGTTGGAGCGGTATGATTTCGGGCAGAGACGTACTTAGCCCTTCTCGTCAACTGGAGAGTGAGTACTTTTTCCTTTATTTTTTTTTACTTGGTCGCCCTCGTTTCACTACACATTTACCTCTGTTATTTCAAGGGTAGTTGTTTCTGAAAAGGAAAACCCCAACTTTGCGGACACCTTGTATAGGTCACTACTATTAGCAAACTAAAACTACTTAGTCTGCAAGATGATATTTTGTTGTCTTTTTGACTTTTTTTATGTTTCTTACATAATACCCCCGTTATCTTCAACGTCTTCATGGTCATCTTGGCTTCTACCTCTCGTAGACTCTTTTTACTCGTGGCAGACTTTGTTAACATTTCACAAACTTTGTTACAATTTATTTAGTTTTTTACGTAAAATTTGCCACAATTTCTTTCATCAATTTTTTATAACAAACGAAAATCGAGGAGCTCATAAAAACAAGTCTAGCCTCAGCGAATACAGTTCAAAATCATACTTCGGGGGCATGTATACCAACATGGAAAAATGATAATCGGACTCTCTAAACCCAGGAACTTTGAAAATTCCCAGTTATTTTCTTAGCACTCCTCGTACATCGTCTTCTTCCATTCAACAGCGGGCTGACATTTTAAACAATCTAATTCTCTCTTCACCAAAAAGTATCATCTAATACACGTACTACGAATGTTCTCAACTTGACATAGTGTTTCATGAATTTAAGCAACACTTAAATAAGTATTCGATAACGATTAGGGGACAGCTATTGATACTTACCTTACTGTCCATTACTTACACACTGTTTCAACGAATTGCTGAACTCATTGTAGCATCCTGCATGCATTTTCAGAACAAGGATCGATATTTTCTGGAGAGTGGCGACAAAATTAGCTATTTTTATGAGCAAGGGGCTATAGGGCCAAATGGAGAACTACTAGTGGAACCTCACTTATCTCTGAATAAAATCGGACATGCGTTACATGAACTTGATCCTGTATTCAGAAAAATGACCTTCAGCGAACAAGTGAAGGAAGTGGCTTTTCAACTGGGGTACGAGGAACCTGCTGTCGTTCAAAGCATGTATATTTTCAAAAAACCCTGGGATTGGCTCCGAAGGTGAGGAACAATGTAAAATATAATCGATTAAAGTGTAGAATATATAAGTTTTAACATCTTAAAATTCAAGTAGCAAGGTATTCAAGGTCATCCCAGTTATGGTCCGAGGGAGAGCTATAGAAGCAGCAAATAAATTTAGGAGATGCGTAGCCTAAGTGTGAACAATCTTAAGACACCCTGGAAAAGTTAGCGGGTGGTACCGCCTCGGACGACTGGTCCTTGTGTCCTTCTTTTTGCTTGTGAATGATGTTAAATATAAAATCCTTAGCGCCTGTACGGGAGGAAGTGCACAACTTCCGGAACAAGCATTTGCCACGGGGATAAAAATAATGTTTCAGGACCAACGTGAGCCGTGATTTAATATTCAAGAATCGTAATCTTGTCTCGATTATTCTAGAGCTGTGGAGCTTTTAAAAGTTTGATATTTTTAATTTTCAGTAACAGCGCATCAAGACGCGACCTATCTGTATACAGAACCCGTGAAAGTGACGGGATTTTGGATAGCATTAGACGATGCTACAGTGGAAAACGGATGCCTATGGTTTGCCGCTGGGTCGCATAAAAGCGGGGTTCACAGGCGATATGTCAGGAATCCAGACAAAGGTTCTGATCAGTTGCTTATTTACAAATCAGGACCGCCGATTATCAACGTAGCAACTTCAAACCTGTTCCAGTTGAAAAAGGTGATTTTTGGAACAGTTTAATCTGCTTTGGTCACTTTATGTGCTGTAAAGACCAAAGGTTAAGAATCACTGCGTACTTATTTGGTTGGACATAAAATCGTATACAGGGTGGCGCATCGAAAACGAAACAGACCCCCACTTCTATTGCTTCGTTCCTTATGGGATTTTCAATGTTGCGTTTTTAATTGGCGACTGACCCAGTTTCCCGAAATTTAGCTACAAGTTCTAGAACATATTTTTACTATTATCATGTCGCTCATTAAATATTTCTGATCTTCTATTAGCGCACTGATTATTTCCGAAAAATATTTCGATAATTTCAACTGTTTCTGCTGTGAATATACCATGGTTAATTTATGTAATAAAGCGTTACAAGTTATTTTAGTAACAAAGTTTGGTCAAATCAATCGCAAACTATGTACTAAATTCCTATTTAAAATAAGTATATACTTTATCTGAAGTCACTTGAAACACTGTGAAATACCGGGTGCGTTTTATATATCTATATTTAACACGCTCTGTTGCTGCAAAAATCGCCAAATTTCGCAGCAAATATCCCCCGTATAAGATCAAAGGCAGTTTCACCGGTCCACGTGGAGTAAAGCACGCCTATGCGTGGACATAGCCAATGAGAAAGCGTGTATTTCAGAGCTCCGAACAAGTGCAGGTGGCTACTGAAAATTGAAACAGTTTAGCCAGTGCGTGTAGCGGTGAATAAACGTGTTTTCTTTAGTCTGTCCGTGTTTTTTCATAGACTTTATTAGTTTGTGTGTTTTTGACTTTTGAATACTCAGTTTACTTGTTGATTTAATTGTTGTGTTGGTTGTTCTTGTGTGTCCTAAATATCGCTCTTTGGAGACCTTGGGAAAGTGCTCCAAGCCACGAGGAGATGGTTAATGAACCTGTGCAGGCAAAATTATTTCATAAGATTTAGAGGAACAGACCCAAAGGGTAATCCTAAATATGTATGATTGTCTGAAAAACGAAAATCCAGATTCCTCGCAAAATCAAATTTTAAACAGAA